AGACTTAAAACTGTGGCATGTATAGTCTCAGAGAAATTCACTAAAATACAATGCCCTCATATGAGGATGCAGGGTCTCAGGAGGTTAAGACTGGTTTTGTGGTCCAGGGTCACAAATACTCTTAGAGCAAAAAATTTAGGAGTATATTAAGAAGGACTATATTGCAACAGTGTAAGATGATCAAAGACAGGCTCTTACTCTATAGTCATATGTCGCTTCTGGGTTCTCATCACAGGCAATGACCTCTGGCGCCATCCAATAAGGAGTGCCAATGAAAGTGTTTCTCCTGCCAACTGTCCTGTCCAACTGAGCGCTCACACCAAAGTCAACTGTAAAATAGGACACGATGTGATTAAAACAGAAATTAAATGGCAAGTAATAATATTATAGCTATTAGCAATTTTTTAATTACATAAAATAAAACTAAAGACTGACATCTGTAGCTGTGCTTGCAAACCTTTAAAAATAAAGGCTCTAATTAGACCCAAATCTGTTGATGTTGGTCATCTGAGGTAAAGGGGTCATTAATTGAGAAATCTAATTTTCAGATTTTTTGAAATACATTTTCTAAAATGATGTCAGTTTTTGATGTAAAGTAAAAGTGATGCAAGTAAAAAGTATTTCATTTATTTATTTTAGGAAAATAAAAGAATGTGACTCACCCAGTTTCACCTCTGCATTCTCTGTTAACAGCACATTCTGACCCTTGATGTCACGATGGATGACATGGTGGGCATGCAAATGGGCCAGACCCTGAAAAGAAAAAATAACCCTACATTAAACTTGAGATGTAAAAGTTATGGAAATAACACATATTTCCACCCTTGAGAACAAACTTTGAATAAAAGAATTCAGTGAACAGAAACGGAAGAGACTGGAGATATTTCTATGAAAATAGAAAGTCCTGAGAAAGAGTGTAAATGGAGAGCTTTTGCTGTCACTCACTCTCAGAATCTCTCTGGAGATGTATGCAATCCAGTCTTCTTTCAAACTGTTGCCTTTGGTGTTCTTAACAAGGTCTGTTATAGAGCCAGCACCACAAAACTCCATGACCAACTGCATAGACAAAGAAACAGACAGAAAAATCAAAGGGGGCAAAACAACAACATAAAATAGGCCTTAAAAAGTTAAAATACTTTTGTTGCATTTAAACTTATAATTATTATTATCTCACATGCTGCTGCTGCTTCTATACAAATTTAGCATCCGTATCGGAAAATGAGCCTGCCATCTCCCAACATAAAAACATTGGTGAATCATGGGTGTGGGCTCTTTTGACCCAGACTGGCTAATAGTCTTTTGATATCATCCTATAAACTGTAGCAAACTCCTAGCAACCACACAGCTATCTGTCTGAAAGAATGCATGTCCTTAAACCCTTCAATCTTCAAGCTTTTAAAACTGCTTCAAACTTTCTGGTCAGGCTTTTCTGTCTTGACAAACTTTTTTTTTTATCTAGTTGATATTTTTTAATGCTACAGTACATCACTGAAATGCACTTTATTTAATTAGACCGTGAGGCAGTGAAAAACATGATAGATGTTCAGATACCCACCCATAGCTGGTCATCATGTCCAGGAGGACTCTTCTTGATAAAAGCACCATAGTATGTGGCAATGTTTCTGTGGTGGGAGTATTTCTTCAGCATGTTAATCTCAAGTTTAATCTCCTCTTCCTCGTCCTAAACCAAACACATCAACAGAAAGACACATACAAAATTTGATGAACCATAAAACACCAAAGAGATCCAAGCTAATTCTTTTCAGACATGCGGTCAAAGGAGGCAAACACTTTTTTTTTTATTCATGTACAATTCAGGGGTACCGAAGACGTCACTTCCGCTATGCTTGCCGCTATTTTTGTGTCTGATATGACAAAGAACACCGCACATCTAAATGAGACATAATAAAAAAATAAAACATTAAAATAATAAATTACCTTTTATTACCACTTCCCACATTGAGCTTTGGACCCTAACATGGGTACAGCAACTAACATGGGTACTAACTAGGGATGCACCGATACCGATACTGGTATCGGTATCGGGCCCGATACTGAGCTCCTGTACTCGTTAAAATGCCCCGATACCATCACACAGCATGTGATAAGCGCCATATTCAGACAAAGAAACACCGACAACAGAACAACAGACAGCAGAATGGAGCTAAGGATGTCTACTACGAAGTATATGTATGCAATGAATATAACGTTAAACATTCAGTATTAACGCCTGTATAGCTGA